CAATCCATCCCTGGCTAATTTCCCCTCCATTCTCACCCTGGATTCTCACCCCTGCATTCTGAATATTTTGATTTCCTAATTAGGAAATCAATAAACAAAAGATTTTGGCTTAAATAGCCTGATTTGTTTAATGATTTCCTGAGGATCACCCCGAATCATCCTGAACCAGTTGACCAGATATGTATTGAAATCAGTGGCTTGTTTATTTCCTTATTCATTCTATCTTTGATTCTTTTGATTTTAATTATCTTTGACTTTGACCTTGCTTTGACTTCACTTCTATACTCAGTTTATATGGAAAAGTGAAAGTTAAATAAAGCCCTAATTAATTCTATTTGAAAAGGACTGAAACTCCAACAGTTATGAGCCCGGAAGACCTCTTATTTTGACTTATTCAATCCCCCTGTTAATTGAATTGGCTACAGTCAGTCCTATTCAATATGAACAATCAGATTATTCAGCAATCTGATAGAATCCTACAATTGAATCAGTCATGTGACTGGATTCTATGGATTAATCAAATTCGACTATTCGCAATCAACAAAGGGATATGGGAATTGGTGAACCCGGAACTGCCAACCGAGCCCGCCTACCCAATCCGGCCTAGCGCCATTAGTGTGAAACAGATAAAATCATCAGCAAATTCAATAATCGACTTAAATGAATCAGACCGCCTGCTATATCAGGAAGCCAAGCAGGACTACCACCAGAACCTCAAGGAATTCAATGAAACTGCTTCAGGACTAGCCTCATTGAGTCTATTGATTAATTCTACATTGAGCAAGCAAAATCAGCACGCTATACTCAATTTGGAAAAGCCCTATCAAATCCTTCGAGCCCTACGAAACCGCCTAGCACCAACCAACCAATCAAGGAAGCGAGATCTCATAAATCGATATCACCGCCTCAGGACCTCAACAAAGGGTCCTATTGAGAGCCATATTAGTCAATGGGAATTGATATATTCTGAAGCAGTGGAGCTTCAAATTAGTGAGGTTAAGGAGCCAATCAGAGTGCTTTTTGACTTCCTTGAATCAATTCATGAAACAATGGGCACCTTTGCATCAATATGGCAGTCCAGGCTTATTGAAATTGAAAACAGTCAAGAAGAAATCCCTGACTTCCTTGAACTAACCCGCAAGGCACGTGACTGGATTCGGTTAAATTACCAGAACAGGCAATCTATCAACAAGCAAAATAGGGTGAGCCATGCCACCTTCCAGGACCAAAGTGATATACCAGAACAAGGTGGTAAACAAACTACCGAAAATGGAAATACACAAACAAAGCCCCGAAAGGGGAGATCACGTGGCCAATCCTGCCCCTGCAAGTTAGGAAAGAATAATGGAAACCATGACTTTCAGGACTGTCAATATGTCAATAAAGACCTCCGAAATTCAATATGGTCACCTGATCCAGACGTGCTAAACCGCTTTCGGCAAGCCTGCGAGAACCCGAAATTCAGATATGCCTATGAGAAGACTTGCCAAGCTCATCAAACAACCCCTATTACCCTAGAAATCTTCGAAAATCAACAAACAGAGGAATATCCATCTAAATTCATCCTATCAATATATCAACAGACTTCCGAACTAGGAAATATATCAACAAATCTGTCAAAACAATGGGTATTTGACACTGCATCCAATGGTCATGTGTGTAATTCATTGGAATTATTCATTGATTACAGACCAGTTGACAATAATCATATCTATGTTGGGAACACCTCTAATACTATTCAGGGATATGGAACAGTCCTATTCCGCCCTACCTGCCCAAAGGGGAATAGTGTTATTTTCGAATTAAAGGATGTTGCCTTTGTTCCTGGATTCCACCATAATGTCATGTCAGGCTGGAAGGCTCAGGAAACCGGACTATTCCATAATGGGAAACGCGCCCTTTTGGAAACAGCCAATGGAACACCAGTCTGCCATATCAAGCCAATTCATGGGCTATATTTCATTCAATGGGAACCATCAGTCAAATCCTCAATAACCCTTAATTCAATGATTAAACAGCTAACCAGAACATCCGAAAAGCCCCATATTTTAAGTGGAACTATGAAAGAATGGCATGATAGGTTAGGGCACCCAGGAGAAGAAGCCCTAAGACACCTTAGTCAAAAGACTCAGGGCATTCAATTGACTGATATTGAGCCAGAACCAATCCGGAAATGCCCCACCTGCCGAATCAGCCAATCAAATCGTCAGATTTCAAGACGGAAAATCAACCCAGGCACCAAGCCCTTTGAAACCCTATATTGGGACCTGATTCATATGACCACTGCATGGAATAAACAGAGATATATCAGTCATCTCTATTGTTCCTATTCAAAATTTCACTTAGGGCAAGCCCTAACTTCCAAATCGGATGTCTCACAGTCAATTATTGATATGATTATTCATATAATTAATCAATATGGGACCATGCCCAAGCGATTTCATTCAGATCAGGATAGGAATCTCAACACCTTCCTAATTTGGGCTAGCTCCAAGGGGATGATTATTAATCATTCGCCTATACACCAGCCTGAGCAGAACCCTTTCTCTGAGAGGGCTGGAGCCCTAATCACTTCCAAAATGAGACATTTATTGATTGATTCAGGCCTGCCACCATTCATTTGGCCTGAAACCATGGAAACAGCCATATATATCCTAAATAGGATGCCAAACAAACAACTCGATTGGGAAACCCCCTATGGAACTGTCTGGAAAAGCCTTCCACAACGACCCTCATGGTTGCCAGAGAAACCAGACCTTTCCTGTTTAAGGAAGTATGGATCATGTGCCTACACCCGGATCAGCAATCTACCAAAAGGGGATAAACTAGGGCCCAGAGCCCTCATTGGATTCCTTGTTGGATATAGAGCTTCAAATATCTGGCGAATATGGATTCCTACCCTTAACCGAGTGATATCTGCACGTGACGTCGTGTTTGATGAAGGGTCGAACTATAAACAAACTTCTGAATTAGGAAGTATGTTGACAAAACAACAGCTCGCCCAGGTGATTGATTCAATCCAAATGGAACAGTCAGATATTGAATTAATTGATCAAGAACCACCTTCATCGGATGACTCAGAAATCGAGGATATCTCTGAGCTGAAATCACATGATCCAGAGGAATCCCATGATTCAGAGGGATCCCATGACCCAGAGGGACCCCATGACCCAGGGGAATCATATGACCATGCAGAACCCTTGGAGGATATAGTCCTTGGTGATATACCTCCTACCCCTGAAGACTCACCGCCTGCCTCACCGCCCATGGTCCTTATTGATAATTCCACCATTAATCAAAAGGCTTTTGATGAAATTGATTTCCTTGATGTGGAACCAATCAGAGGATTGAAAAGGCAGAGGTCTGAATCACCTGATCCAGACTATTCCCGAAAGAGACTAGTTCTCCAAGCTATTCAAACAATGGTCAACTGTATCAATAAAGGGGAAATCCCTAATATTGATAAATCCCAGCTTCCACCACCACCCACCAACTGGAGGGGATTAATGAGTCACCCCTATTCATCTCAATTTATTCAAGCTTCAAAGGTGGAACTCAATCAATTAGATGCCTTAGGCACCTGGATCACGTGTTCAAC